TATCAATGAATACTTTGTTTTTTCTATGGTGTTACTTAATGTACATTACAAAGAATACATATTTCTTGAATTATACTTATTTCGAAACGAATAAGGAATACAATATAATAAGTTATACAAAAATAAGTAAGGAAGAGGTAAAATTTATATTTGAAATTAATATTTCTATTCTATTCTTACAAAAAAACTAACATGACAGATCATTACAATATTGGGTTAAGTATATAACCTTTAAATTAACATAAATGTTGCATAGAATTTCTCAATGTAAATTTGATGCATAAGTGTACGTACACACGCACTTAATGATCAGTAATAAACCAGCTGTTAAAGTGATTGGGCGTTTATTGTATACACCACGCATCTGTCTACAAGTGGCGACGAGGATTGGATACAATATTGACATCGCCTGTATCCTTGTAGTAACGGCCAAGCGGAGAATTCCATAAAAACTTGTAAAAAAATGATTAAGTCGATGCTTGCTAACGAAATAATCCATATTAATAATTAAAAGATGAATTATCAGAGTTTCTTTTCCATTATAGGAACACCGTTGTTCTACTGGTAAAACTCCAGCCCGATTAATGTTTGGTCGTAAGTTAACAGGCAGATTGGATGTGATGCAGCCTAAAATATGTAATACAATAAATGGTGATAATGTTGTTGATAGTAAAATTGTAAATGATAACTTACCGCCTAGTAGACGGTTCCATGTAAATGAAGTTGTATGGGCAAAGTGGTTTTACTGGTAGAAAGTATAGATGGTCAATGGCTTAAATTATTAAAACTTTGAGAAAACAAAAATGTTTAACTTTAAACTGTCGTGGTTTTTACAATTATAAAGTTCGTAAGATACGGGTTTCTTACCACGATTGGGTTGTTTTAGCTCCCGATATTTCGGCACAGTTGCATGCGCCATGTTCACGGGCTGACTGAAGTGATGCGGTAGTGTGAAAAAAAAATGTTACACGAATATCGGTCTACTTTTCTCCTGATACGGCGACCACTATTATTACTGTCCTTGTTTTCACTAAACACTAAGTCCACACTAGATGTTTTCTGCCGACAAACTACACTCACGGTGTCCACACTTGTGCGCGCGTTTGAAGTTGCTGTCCAGTTGTGTTGTAATACTGGATTACTGGATTCCAAGTACTCGACAATTTAACCCCATCTTCGTAACCCGTATCTTACGAACATTATAAGAATGTTTAAGCAATATGTTGTGAAATTTAATGTAACTTGTAATAAACACATAAATCAGCTTATTAAATATCAAAAAGGAAATAAGGTTGAGTCGAGTGGTAGTGATAAAGCATTAACGTCACCGACGAAGCCAGCGCTTGAGCAACTCGACCAGTCAGCGCCTAAACAGGTCGTTCCACTAAGCCAGCCGTCGCAGACGTAACCTTCTCCTCAATCCTCACATTTAGAAATAAGTACAGAGCTCCCTGAGCAATCGAGTGACAGTGAAATGTGACAGAACATGGTGGTGACGCTGAGGTCTTTGAAGGCAGTGGTGTGACGCCCGGTCAATCGCCTGAACTCGTTGCTCAATCGCTACCAAAACCGAGAGTACTAACATCTTCCGTGCGATCAAGTACAAGTGAGCAATCAGATTACCAAAGCGTAAATTAAGACATTATAAGATTTTTTACCGAAAGATGTTTTTTTTTTTTTAATTCATTAGTAGTTTATAGTTGTACATAGTATATAGTTTTTGATTTTCTTGTGTTATGTTGATTTTTTGTATTTTCCTTGTTATTTTATAAGTTATTCCACAAATGTTTTTGTTCTGCACCAGGTCCTGAAATTGATGTGAGAGCAATGATGCATAAGTGTGCGTGCACGCGCACAGAATGATCAGTAATAAACCAGCTGTCAAAGTGATTGGGCGTTTCAGTTTACATTCCACGCACTTATACTACAAAATTACAAATAGACTATCGTTTATTTAGTACTTGAAATCCGCTCTAGCTACACGAGTCTGTGTAGTCCTTTAAAAAAAGGGTAAGCATAAGGTAAAGTGCTATCAAGTTTATTGTAAATTATTTAATGTTTTTGTACAAAAATATCCTCTTGATAGATTGCTTTCTTTTTTGTAATCGTTAATGATTTCTTGTGTTTATTTTTAGCTCGCTTAATTCTCTATTTTCTTGTATTTCTATTTACATAGGGTTTTAGAAGAATATACTAATGATAATTTAATCTTAGGAGCTCTTTTTTTAATTGTTATAGTTTTGTTTTCATTAACGGAGGGTATTTTTTATCAGGCATTTTATCTGAATTTACTTCTCACGATATTCTATTTGTCATAATTTATCTGTAACATGTTCATATTATTTTTTTTTAAATTTATTAACCGATGAAACAAAATATGTGTTAACATACTATGAGAATTATTCATTACTAGCTTACACCCGCAACACCGTCTACGTGAAATTAAAAAAAAAATAAGTAGCCTATGTGTTCTTTCAGACTATCCTCTACATCTGTACCAAATTTCATCGAAATCCGTTCAGTTGTTTAGGCTACACTTTAACAAACATCCATCCATCTAAATTTTCGCATTTATAATATTAATATGATAATATGATTCCTTCCCAGATTTCGAGAATAATAATGGAACACTTTGATAATGTCGCTAACTTTTACGCGGGAAAATCGATTTTTATCACCGGTGGTACTGGCTTCCTTGGAAAGGTATATTTTAAAATGATACTCAAATTGTCAATTCTGTCAAAAAACTATAAATACATATGTTACAGGTATTAATAGAAAAGCTTTTGTACAGCTGTCCGAAATTAGATAATATCTATGTTCTGATTCGTGGAAAGAAAAATGCAACACCTGAATCTAGGTTACAAGAAATGCTTAACCAGCCAGTAAGTGTATCGTTTTATCTATCTGTATCTATACACTAGCTGTTGCTCGTGACTTCGTCCACGTAATATTAGTAAAAAGTAGCCTATAATATGCCCGGGTATGACAGCTACCCTTGTATAGATGTAAAAAAATTGTAGTATCTGTTTGTAACATCATAGAAAAATTCTAGATTTCGGAAAGATGGTGTTCTTGCATTGCTGTTAACGAAAACCGCATTTAATTTTTTTTGTCTGTCTGTCTACAAGCCGTGTTTGTGCCAAGTAATATCCGAAACGGATCGGCCGATTTCGACTGGACGTTCACTGAAGGGTAGCTGGCATAAACGAGCATATTATAGGCTACTTTTATCTATACTATTATAATAAAGCGTAACACACTCTTTTTGTTGCCTAAGATGTCAGCAATTACAGCATACTATATATTTTAACGCCATTAAACTTAAGGGGTTAATATTATGGATAAAAACCCTAATGTGGGAAAGAGACCATAGGTTGCTGCCAACATTAAGGAAGCAAGGTTGCCTTCATGTCATGTCATTTTGACATTTGTAATTGATAATTTGACAATTGTAAACAATGAAATAAAATTTTCATAATTTTATACGAATGAAGTCGCATGGGAACAGCTAGTATCAAAATATGGCGTGGAGGAAATCTCGAGCAGCAGCTTGTTATATATATTGGGGCTGGTAAAAGAGTAAACTAATAGTTTAAGAGCGGGCACTCCTTTGACTAAACTATCGCACAACTGTTGTGCGTTTGTCGATTGTTTCGCAGCCAATATAAAGAGGACATT